TCATGCTACCTCTACTTAAAACTTTACAATGGCAGGGAGGGCTCTCACTACTGCCTAAAATAGTTCCTTTCACTTACAAAGATCTCTAATTGTTAGAGGATTTTAAAAAATACTAAACCTAAATCTGTCTTCTGTTAGTGCTTCTATTATACATATGGGTTGAACCAGTGCTACTCCTGATCATCCAGGAAGGTTGTTAAATTCTAAGCCAGCTTGCCTAGAATGGTCATTAAACACTGTAGACTAGAAAGAAAGAAAAATGAGGAGAATGTCTTCAACTCAGACTAAAGATTTGTAGGGAGACCACCCCACTGGGTGAAATCCTAGGAAGGTGCTGAATTCAGCTCTGCCACTTAAAGCTTGTATGATCTTAAGCAAGTCACTTCTCCTGTTCAAGCCTCAGTTTCCTCATGTGTAAAATGAGGGAGTAGGGTTAGATGATCTCTAAGGGCCAATCCAGCTCATATCTGTGTCTGACTATGGCAAGTCTCTTATTTAAGAATGACAATAACTAGAATTTATACAGGACTTTAAGGTTTGTAAAGTACTTTACAAATTTTATCTCATTTAACTTCACAACAACCCTAGGAGGTAGATGTTATTATTATCCCTATTTTTATAGATGAGGGAACTGAGACAAACAGAGGTTATGTGCCCAGAATCACATAGCTAGCAAGGGTCTGAGACTAGTAAAAAAACATTTATTAAGCTATTACTGTGTGCAGAACACTAATCTATGGGCTGGGGGAGAGATTGAAAGTTTAGATCAGAAGGCACACATCCTCTGTTTTCATGGAGCCTATAGTCTAGCAGGGCACTAAGACATGAACCTAGATAACAATGGTGGACAATATTATCACATATTAGAGTCTAAGGTACAAAACAAAACACTGTGGGGGGTTCTACTGATGTAGATTGCTCAGAAGTAGGAAGGAAGTAAATCCCATATGTATTTGCCTTCTGGTCCTGGAGTCAGTGAAGCCTTGGCATTAATAATGAGGGCATGGGATTGGAGGATGGCTGCTAGGGTGCTCAAGAATTCAGGCTCAGCAAAAATCAGGAAGAGCAAAGTAGCAGCAGCAAACAATTCTGGTGGAAAGCCCCTGCTTGACCAGCTGAAAAGAGGAAGAAAGGAAAGTCGCAGAGGGTACTGAGATGAGCTACCAGACTTGTGTCTGCATCAAGGGTAGCTGCAGCATTGCAGCTTTAGTCTGCAAAGGGAAGGCTGCCAAACCCTGGAAAAATAAGGCAGGCATGGTGTGCTGTAGACCAGTTTTGAGTATGCCACTTAAGTACTGCCTGCCTGCCTGCTTGCCTGCCTGCTTACTAAGCACTAGACTCTAGCATCTCTCTTTGCTTTACAAGGCTGGCCCCAGGCAAAAATTGTGAAGTGCATTACAATGGACTCTGTTCTCTAGTTCCCTTTGTCCCTCCCTTTCTTTTTATTTCCTTTCCCACCTCCTCCACCCAAAGTTCTTTGATAAAATTATAAAATAAGGAGGTTAGACGAGAATCAAGGGTTTTTTAACTTGAATTCCATGAACGTTTTTTTTTTTT